CCTGATTTAATTGACCAAAAAGTCTTATTTAAGAAATGTTTTGCAATCCGATTATTAATTAATCGAAACAATAATCGACACATTAATCAATTTGCAAAATAATGGTTAAATGCACCCGTTAACTGAATGATGGATCAGAAAAAAATGTCCAATCCTGATCACCTTCCATGCAGTCGGTGAATCATAAACCCTTTTCTATACTAAATTCTGCATCAAGCTCTCTACGGCTATGATCCTACTTTCTGCCCTTGCAGCACCTTTTCTACAGCCTTGATCTTTTGCATTTCTTTGTTCTTTTTTGTGTGTTTTTGTATTTTATATCATTTGTGTGTCTGCAGAACATTTGCAGTTTGTGGCACATTTGCACCTTCTGGTTACCATATAAACTACATTGCCAATTACGCAGTAATAACTAAGCATCATATCTAAAAAAAATAACTAACTGTTCCTTATTTTCCTTGATTGACTTCAACAATAATATAAAGAAAAATATATATTAATGTCAAGGAGAAGATAGCATCATGTTAATGATAAATCAACTCAATGGCAGCATTTTGTTTCACATTCTTCCTTCTATATCAGGTCTGAGCTTAAACGTCAATCTATGCAAAAACATTCAATAATTAAAATATTTCACAGCAAAAAACAAAAAACCTTTACCGTATATCAGGTTAAAACATTTCACTTCCCTCTGCAAAGTGAAAGATGTTAGCACACAATTGTAACAACTAATTTGATTTATATTAATGTATAATTAAGGTTTATGAGGCAGACTGCCAAATGTATGTTTATATAGCTACAATAGTCCACAGGGTCAGTAAATTAATGGCATAATTAACACCATGACAACAGGAAAATACAGCGGTTTGTGTTGCAGGGCAGGAGCGGTGTCAGATAAGGCTGTTTATGCATGAAGCTGCTGTTTCTTTATAAAATACCATGCAGCTCATAAAGAAGAATGAGAAAGTTTAAGATATTGGAACTAAAGTGCTGCTCAAACATGCGTTGCTTTATATGAATCATCAGTTGCACTTGTTGAGTTTTCTCTGAAAGATCTTGCATTAGATTTAATGGCCCATCGCTGTTGTGGTCACATTAACTGGAATTTACAGCAGAGGTGAAGAAACGCTGGCTTTCAATCAGCAGCTCAGAAAGAAGCCGTCATTATTAACAGTGCTGTCAAAGATTTCTGCTAATTCTATGGTTTTTATGCTGATTAGTCATTTTAAAATCTTTTTTTAAGAACATGTGAATGGAAAATTATTACAACCTTTATGACTTTTTGTTTCCATCCATTATCAACTTTAATATTTATGTCTTTTTTATTTTAATGTGAATTTTGTGGGTGATGAACGTCTACTGCATCTCTATGAGAAATAAGTAAGTAAGTAAGTAAACTTTATTTGTATAGCACTTTTCACAGACAAAGTCACAAAGTGCTTCACATGATAACATAACAACAACACAAGCAAAAACAGATAAAATGCAATAAAAGCTATAATAAATAAGGGAATAAAACAACAGGCTATGTGAAATTTACATCTTATTTAAGTCTTGCTTTATTAAAGCCAGGCTTGATGTTTATGGTTAGACATGCTGCTTGTCATGAATCATTTGCATGTTTTTCTAACCATCCTTGCCAATGCAAAAACACAAGTTTTAGAAATGGATCATGAAATGGTTGATTTAAATAACTGGTGAAAAATACCTCCTTAACGACCGACCTTCAGAATCATAGACAGGTTTCAGATATTACAGGCTAACAATGGAACCAAACGACCCACTCGTTGGTTTCAATTTGCATGTTTCCAAGCAATACAAGGCCTTGTCTATATAAAAGACTCAAACTCCAAAATGTCGGATCCAGACATTTGCATTGAGAAAGCTTCCTGGAGGAAAAGGGAAACATCTTCAAAGCTTGGAAACCAAGTCCAGTGGATTGTTTTTTTAAACTTTTACGGAAATTTAAATACCTGATCATATAGTACTCAGTACTGGGAAATGTGTTGGTGTGACTCAACTAAGCTCCACCTACCAGGGTGTAAAACGGAAATCATCTAAAAAAGAAACCATAAAATTTTATTATAAGTGAGATTTTTTTTTTCTTCGCTTTTTGTCATTATATACCTTCATCGTTCCCTAGAAGTACATTAAGAAGGAAAGTATTTAAACACTAAAACAAGAACTGAGCTCATGGAAACCAATAACATGTTTCTGGGTGATATATTGAAATACGTCGAGATAAAATAAAGTTATACCACCGCTCCTCATGAGCCATATCTCTACATTCATTCACCTTACTTGCATCAAAGATTTACAGGATTAAACATAGAGTCTAAAACATGCCTTCAGCTGACAGAGAAACCCACTTATAGCAGTAAATATACCCAGATAGTAGAAAAATATAGAAACATTTTCCATTCAACAAAAGAAAAAGAGTTTTCTTCTGTCACTATATTCTATCCAGAACTCCACAAGTGGAAAAGTTTTAGTTTCACCTCATTTAATTCTGCATAAAGTCTTCCTAAAGGAACCTTTCGCTATCTGATTATTAATGGATTAATCAAAAAATAATATTAATTAAACAGCTATCAAAATAATCGTTTGTTGCAGCCCTAATCTCTAAATTCATTCACCTTACATGTACCAAAGATTTACAGGACTAAAGAGCAAAAAAAAGTGTGCTGTATCTCTACTAGGGCTCAAACATTTAATCGGATAAATCGTAATTAATTGATTATTGAAATAACCTTTAACTAATTCATTAAACGATTACTCATAAACTGGAATATAGAGACTCTAAAACATGCCTTTATCTGACAGAGAAACCCACTTATAGCTGTAAATATACCAAGATAGTAAAAAATTATATAAATATTTTGCATTCAGATAAAAGAAAAACCTTTTTCTTCTGTCAATAAGATCTATCCAGAACTCCACAAGTGGAAAAGTTTTAGTTTTACCTCATTTAATTCTATATAAAATCTTCTTTAAGGAACCTTTTATTATCGGCTATCAAAATAAATGTTTGTTGCAGCCCTGATCTCTAAATTAATTCACCTTACTTGCACCAAAGAGCAAAATAAGTACTTTAATCCATGAAAAACCATCCAAAAATCTCCAGCAGCACAGTATCCTCTGTAACATTTCCAAATACAGCATCAAGATCACGCCCCCTTACCTCAAACTTCATATTCAGTTAATTTACTCTGCATTGTTGTGCAAAAAAGAGGAACAGACTCATGAAAGCATGTCAGGATTAACATAATACAATTCTCATGAACACTAATAACCCGCAGACTAGACCTGCAACACGCCAGAAACTTCCTATTATAACATCATAAACAAGAACTTCAACATATTAAACAAATAAAAGCTGCCTTCTCATTGGAGAGAAGCTTTTGATACAATAAAATAACTAACTGGTTTATTTTGTTTTGCGCAGCAGGAAGTGAAGAAACCACAGTGGGGCAGTTAGCGCCTCTGCTGCGACACAATCCCAAATAATCCCAAATATGAGAGGTTCTGGTGTGCAGCCTGAGGCTCTACTCCTCCCAAACTGCCCCGACTTTGATCTGATCATCACCTGGGTCGGCATCGGCATGAACACAGAGAGGCAGGAGGCCTCAGGGTCAGAAGGTGGGCGCCCATAAAACCACATCAAAATTCTTCTCAGTCATTCTCAGGCTTTCTTCTAACCTAACATCACTTCATGAGTCATTTCATCCATGCAAATGACATTTGACTCAGAAATTTAAGGTTGCAAAGGTGAAACCGTCCATCCCCAAGCATTTCCTCATTCAGGACATCCTCTTTCTGAGGAAGAAAAATAGAAGTGATGCTGCAAGTGTTTCACACAAAAAGTGAGTTTGAATACAAAGTTGTTAAAAGCTGCTGTTTGTGTCCTGATCTGGGTGTGAAAAAAAGCCAAAAACATCATATAATGATCAATGTAGCAATGTGCCGCTACAGAGTGAAGGGAAAATATTACATCTGAGCCCCCATGTGAGTGTGAGCCTCTCACTGCATCGAGAAATAAGTGAAGTCCTGGAGTCAGAGTTACAAAAGCTTCCATCATCTGAGCATCAGTGTCCCTGTTCTATAGAGGCTGTCATAGTCCTGAACCTCAAGGTAGTTCCTGTCTCTTCTTTTGTTCTCGGTGTGCAGTGGTTTCCCCATATAACTTTGAAAGCACAACTACTACCAGGAGAGAACAGCAGATCAAGAGAATATGATTTTCTAAAAGTCTTACAGCAATATTTGTATTTGTTTTATTATTTTAAAGCTACAATCCGCAGTTTATCTTTATGGGATTTTATGTAACCAACCAACTCAGAGTAGAGGATGACATGAGAAGGGAAAATATAAGCTTTCAGACTTTGAGTAGGCCATTCTAACAACACAAATTAAATATTCTGTTGAGTTTCAGGCATTTGTAATAATTATCCTCTAGAATTGGCCTTGATTTACCACCATCCTTCCTCCAATCAACTCTAAACCCAACTTCCCTCAGCATGATGCTGCAACCATAATGTTCCTGCAAATCTATGAGCTCTTTACTTCAATGTGCAACCTTCAGTTTTAATGTTCATACACTGAGTTTATTCTAAATATGGCTTCAGAAAAGCTGAAAACAGCCATTTTACTTTATTTTATTTTTTTGCAAAGTGTACCTAAAGACAAAACAGAAAAGATTCTCAAAACGGATCTGTGAATCTCTGCAGCTCCTCCAAAGCTACATTACTTTTACATAATGTGAGGAGCTTGGAGGGTGTTAATAAATTTGAATTCAGCTTCATACAGCTCAGTATTTGGGATCATAAAAATTACAACCAAAGCTGATCCATTTTGAGTCATCTGTTCTGAAGTCATGATAAGTGATAAATGGATTAATTATAGAGTATTAGTGAATAAAGAAAAATATTCAATTTGCAGAAGGGAAAAGCCCCCAGGAATCCCCTGAAGCATCCCTGGGAATCAGGCAGAAGGAGGCTGCTTACCTCAGGAGGTTGGGCAGAGGGATGGAGCCAGAGCCTGACCCCAGGATCCCCTTTTTCCCACTCAACAGTTTCTCCACCAAGGCCACATTCCCGGTGCGGGCGGCCTCCAGCAGCTCCTGTTCCTTCCCCATTCCGGACTCTCAAGTTTGCAACGACAGGGCGGTGGAATCAAAACAAAGAAAACCCATAAAAATAACAAATAAAATCCCTCCTGTGTTCAGTGTCTGCTGCGCATCTGAAGGATTCCCTCTGGCTGCGTGCAGTTCTGCACCGTGGAAGTGGGTGTTATTGATGCTGCAGAGCACGGATCCCCTGGTGCCCTGCAACCTCAGCTGCTTCTCATCCACAGCTGCGTAATTTACTCCCGGTGTGCAGATCCTGATCCCCGGTTAAAACCTGAAACAAATCCCCTCCGACTTCATGCACGTCCGAGGTTAAAAAGAAGAAACAAAGGAGAAGAAATAAAACTCCTTCTTTGTCCTTTCTCCTCTGGAGCTCCTGCTGGGAACAGACTGGAGGTGAAACTCCGTCTGCAGCCACAAAAAGCTCTCCCTGCCCGCTCACCGCCTCCCTCTGTCCGCTCAACCAACCGCACTGCTCCGCTGGTTCTCAGGGTCTGCTCACACACAGCTGTCAAGCTCCCGGAAACCACTGCTTCCTGGCTGCGCCTTTCAAAATAAAACTCCAGTCTGATTATTATTATTAATAATAAGTATAAAATTAATAGCAGTATAAAAAAATATTTTTATGCAGTTTAATTAACAGATAATACAAAAGAAAATTAAATAGTGGAACAAAAAACTGCATTTTAGAAGACCGATATATACTCATTATTGGTTTGGCTACTGCTTCATTGGAAAGACAAAAGAGAATTAAATTATATAAGTGTTATAAACTAATAGAAAAATAATCTTTGAATGTAAAAATTATTTAAACTGTATCATCTGGTGAACTAAAAAATAACAAGTGTTGTGAATTGGCGCTATACAAATAAACGGAATTGAATTAGTATCTTCAAGCAGCAAATGGAATTTAAATTAATGATAATTTCCTGTATTTTGCATATCTGTATTTGTATATCTTTACTTTGAGCAAAATACTATAATTGGATACTGTGATGAAGTAAAAGTTCTGTGAAACTGGACAGTTTTCTTTTTTTTTTAAAGTGGTGGTTGTCACGGTCTTGGTTCTGTTATGTTTTCCTTTGCTCCAAGTTTTCTAGTTTTATTGGTTTAAATCCTATTTTGTTGTATTTTCTGGATATATTTGAGTTCTTTGGTTTGTATTTTTTGCCCTTTTGTGTTGGTCTCCTTTTTCCTAGCTCCTCGTCTTTCCCTGACTCCGCGTTGCTCTTTTCCCCTGATGTCTCCATGGTTCTGGTTAAGTTTTATATTTTGAGTTGGATTTTGGATTCCTGCCTCTGTTACCTGTATTGATTCATTAAAAACTGCAAGAACTCACCTATGTCCTCAAACCTCAACCAAACCCTGACAGTGATAGCTCATCCACTTATAATAACACCATGAGTAACCACCCATATTGACCAAAAACATAATCTTATTGTCGTAACTATGCAGCCAATTACTCTATTGCATTAGGGGAGTGTCAGCCTGTTGGTTAGAGCAGTATGCTTGACTGTGCTCTGAGAAGGTTGCAAGTACCCGGTTTGATCCCCACAGCCTGCCCTCTGGGTCCCTGAGCAAGACCCTTAACCCCACACTGCATCCTGGGCGCCGCACAATGGCAGTCCTCTGCTCCCAAAGGGGATGCATTAAATGCAGACAGTTAATTTCTCCAATGTGCAAACAATGAAGTTCAATTATTATTAGTATAATGAATTGGTTTCTAAAATTGGGTTTTGATTCAACAGGCCTGAGATCCTTTTCAGAAATAAAACCAAACATAAAGGAAAATAAAGCCTGGATATGCTGAACTATAAACATCCCCTAGAAATAGTTAAAAGCATCATTACCTGATACTTATGTGCTGGTATAGCAACTCTGTTAAAGCACCATTGCTTTTAAATGCATTTCCTATTATTGATCACCTATATGGTTTTATTTTGAAAATAATCGAGTCCAGTTTCCGCTACAACTTCTAATTGATTCACGAGCTCTTTATACAGCGGGGATAACAATGCTGCAACATCAGTGAATTATACTTTGTTAGTCGCCCTGTGTAATTAAGTGACACTGACATGCAGCAGCTTTGGATTTTATTAAACTTTGTCAGATTTCAAACTTATATCGCTGTCGCGCATGCGCGCCTCGTCCTTTTCTGCGCTTTGTTGTCTGTTTTTCTCAATCAGCGCGCCGCTGCTGCCCAATTTGGTTTGGAAACAGGTGAGATCCCAAAAATATCCTCGTCCTCCTCCCCCTGCCAGCGGTGTGAGAGCAGAGTTAGAGTGAATAATGCAGAATGAAGGCAGGAGCCTGGATTTAATGCACTTTGACAGCCAGAAAAAGATACCTTCACCCCCCCTAGACTCTGCACCCTTTGCAGGCAGGAACCTGCAGGATGCATTCATGCACATGGGCGGTTCTAGGCAGGGGCCAGCTGTTATGGCCCCTGCACTGAAGATAAAATACTCAAAGAAATTCTAATGATGATATGCGCTGGAACAAACATGGTTACTGATAGGTTCTTTGGATCAATTTCATTTTTTTCTTCACAAATTCTGTTTTACTAATTATTTAAAACCAATAAGGTGAAAGCTTCACTGGTATAGAGCTATGATGTTATTTTCACACACAAAAAAGCTGAATTTATCTTTTTTTTTTTTTTTCTAATTCAGATTTTATAAATTAAGTCAAAAATATGTAAAATTCCTAAATTATGAATGTATATTGATCAAATAATACTTTTATTTAATTATTTTTAATTAAATCTACTTGAATAGAAGTTTCACTTCATGCTGTTATATGAATATATTTGAATCCCTTGCCCTGTTTTTATTTCATGCTTTTCTTTGCCCAAATGAAAACACGCTGGCCCCCTCCTGGCCCCCTGGTACATTTAGTCTAAGACCGCCACTGTTCGTGCAGCTGCTTCATTAGAATAAAAAGTAGCAAATAATTGTGACTTGGAAAAAAAAAAATTGGTGGTTAATATTTTTTTTAGCAAAAAAAAAAACGCATTTATGTTCAGCTCCATCTGGTATCCAATATATGTAAGATTTTAGTATAATAATTTTACTCTTCTCCATCATCACTCCCTTGTTTTCATCAGTTCCAGTCAGTGAAAGACGAGATCAAGCTTAGACTTGCAGTCCTGTTTCCCATTGTAGGCGTTAGGTCAAAAAGCCAATCCATTTAACTCAGGATGAATAAAACTTTAGTGGTTGTTCTAGACCTAATTCCATAGATTCACAGAAGGACAGAAAAAAATTTGAAGCCAAAAATCATGAAGGGAAATTTCAACCTAATTTAGTTTAATCAAAACTATGTTATTCCATGTGAATATTAGTATTTCTTACTTCAAAACGTTAATTTAAATTGGACTAAAATGGAAAATCCTGCATGGAAAAGAGCAACTACCGTAAAAAAAATCAGTAGCAAAATAAAACCATGTGTTGATGAATGTGGCTTCATTTGTCAAGCATTTGATAATGGGCGTGGCCAAAGATGCAACACCACAGGAAAAGCTGCTGTTACAAAAACAAATAAGTGATTCTACTCAATGCTGTATAGCGGGGGCTTCAACATTTTCCAGGCCAAGGACCCCCAAACCGATGGCGAGATGGATCAGGGACCCCATAATTCAATGGTGCAACTATCGGTAAGCAGAGACTGTAGTTGCTTAGGGGTCCCATCACTGACACTTGGTTGGCCCCCTACACAATTGTGGACTAGGACGTCTCTTTGCAGATGTAATGGTGCAAAAAATTCCTTCTAAATCTACCTGATACTAACTTAACTAACCAGAACTCATTTACACCCCAACACATGGCAGATTTCAACATGATGGTGAGCCTGTTGTACTTCATATGGGGCCCACCCAGATAATGTCGTTATGCCATTGCCCTAATTATATATATTGTATGAAATGTGTCATATCAAACTGGTCCTATAGTCGCTCTATTACAGATGGAGTAATGTAATGAAAGTAATTTCTCCCTGGGGTTATTAAAGTATTTCTGATTCCTGGTTGATGGGACAGGTGTTGTGAATGAAACGGTGCCCAACTTGAAAGAGCTCCTATGTGTCGCTGAATGTGTGCATTGATGACTGAAAGACATCTTTACTACAGTGTTGAATTAATGTCAATATGGGTTTAAAGATATTTCCATTAGTGGAAAAAATTGCATGGCAGAATATAAAAAAATAAAATAAAACAACATTTTCGGGACCCCCTAGGAGTCACAGACTCCCTGTTGAAGACCTCCGCTGTATAGGATTGCACTGCAGTGTGCAGGTTACAAAATATCTGAGTTTTTTTATTGTTGGAAGCTCTTTATAAAGTTATATAATTCCTGTCTCTATGGACAATAAAGTTGGACCAAAGTGAAATATTGGGTTTTATAAAAGGTATGATGCTTATTGTCTTTGGAGTAAAAAGAAAAGATAAAACAAAGCTCAGGATTATTATGTCATTATTGATATATAATGCAGGACTATTATATGTACTTATTATTTTAAAGGATCAGTTTTAATCAAACAGAAGTTGAAGTTGGCTCAAAATATTTGGCAGATGAAAACTGGGATCCTGTCTCAATACGACCGAAGGGATTACCTTATTTTTCAAATAATAATTAAAGCAGAAGTGTAGAGAAAAAGAGAAATGTGCCCAAAGGCCTCATCAGTGTCGATGCCTTTAAAAGCACATGTAAGAAAATTACTTTGTATTATGTGTTCAGTACAATGGCCGTAACAGGGGCTAGGATCAGTGCTATAGGGTTCCTGGCCCCTGTTGACCCTTCGCCAGAAACGTCCATGTAAAACAGGCTGAATAACATCTCTAAAATGAAAACCAAACTGCATTAAACCATCAAGACTTGTGTTCTTTTTAGCAGAAACATTAATCATTCCAACTATTAAACTTGGAAATATAAAAACAAATTTTAAAATAACTTTCCAATAGCATCAACACGAATAAAATCCAACCTCTGCTGTTCTTAATCCGGCTGCTCTTAAATCCATACTAAGACATGTATTCTCCTTCTGTGATTCATTATTACATGGCTACAAGCTCACTAACTTGTTCCCACGTTGAGAATAGCAGAACTTTCCTTTTACACACGTGCACACTTGTTTAATGTCCTCCTATGATTCACTGCACCGCTGCAGCTGTGAAATATCATGACCATTTAAGTCCAACCACCTCCATCCCTGCAGCCCAGAGAGCCTGCTGCTCCTACATGTAGAGTTTACCTCCTCACATGCATTTATAAATATTCAATCATTAAAGAGAGGCGAGCCACAGGTCAAACACCTGTTTTGGAAATCATCCAAGTTTTTAAACCTTTGTTGAACTGGAATATTGCAGCATGAATGATACTGTAGAGCCTTTTTTTCTGCTCACCATCCAGTTAAAAATAGCATCTAAAATAGTTGGTGTGACACATTAAACAAATATCTGAAATGTTTGCTTTGTTCAAAT